TTCCACTCCTCCATGATGACATCACAGGACTGGTGGATGTTAGAGACCTTGTGCACCTCCACCTTCCATTTCAGGATGCCCCACAGATGCTCAATAGGGTTTAGGTCTGGAGACATGCTTGGCCAGTCCATCACCTTTACCCTCAGCTTCTTTAGCAAGGCAGTGGTTGTTTTGGAGGTGTGTTTGGGGTCTTTGTCATGTTGGAATACCGCCCTGAGGCCTAGTCTCTGAAGAGAGGGGATCATGCTCTGCTTCACTATGTCACAGAACATATTGGCATTCATGGTTCCTTCAATGAACCGTAGCTTCCCAGTGTTGGCAGCACTCGTGCAGCCACAGACCATGACACTCCCACCACCATGCTTGACTGTAGGCACTACACACTTGTCTTTGTACTCCTCACCTGGTTGCCGCCACACACGCTTGTCACCATCTGAACCAAATAGGTTTATCTTGGTCTCACCAGACCACAGGACATGGTTCCAGAAATCTATGCCCTTAGTTTGCTTGTCTGCAGCAAACCATATGTGGGCTTTCTTGTGCATCATCTTTAGAAGAGGCTTCCTTCTGGGACAACAGCCCTAGAAACCAATTTGAAGCAGCATGTGGCATACAGTCTGAGCACTAACAGCCTGACGCCACCTCTCACCCCTTCAACCTCTGCAGCAATGCTGGCAGCACTCATACGTCAATTTCCCGAAGCCAACCTCTGGATATGACACTCAGCACAGGCTCAGTGTTAACTTCTTTGGTCGACCATGGTGAACCCTGTTCTGAGTGGAACCTCTCCTGTTAAACTTCTGTATGGTCTTGGCCACCGTGTTGCAGCTCAGTTTCAGGGTTTTGGCAATCTTCTTATAGCCTAGGACATCTGTATGTAGAGCAACAATCCGTTTTTTTTCAGATCCTCAGATAATTCATTACCATGAGGTGCCATGTGGAACTTCCAGTGACCAGTCTGAGAGAGAGAGAGCAATAACACCGGCTTCCCCTTCACACCTGAGACCTGTGACACTTACAGGTCTCGTGACACCAGGGAGGGGAAACGGCTACTTGAGGGAACAGCACATTTACACTGTTCTACAAGCTGTATACCCACTGCTTTACATTGTAGCCAACCATCATTTCTTCAGTGTTGTCACCTGAAAAGATATGCTAAAATATTTATGAAATGTAAGGGGGTGTACTCACTTCTGTGATACTGTATGTGGCTGTGGAGCCAGAGGCTGAAGTTTGATTCCTCACTGTGTCTCAGAGGGTCAGTGGAGGACAACAACATTAATACAATTGAAAATAACAAATAAATTAGCTAGTGACAGGAGGGAAGGCCTGCCTAAAGAGCCAGGTCTTGATTTGGCTCTTAAAAACACCCAGTGAGGGAGCCAGACGAATTTCTGGGGGGAGATTATTTTGTATATCCTAAGTACACTTTCCCTTTTGTTAAGACCATCAGGGGAAGCCTTTCTCTCAGTTTTGTCACCTTCACAGGTGCATCTGATGGGGACAAAGGCTTCTCCCAGATTTTGGAAATCCCTCCCACTGGAAGCCAGACCAGCCCCATCTTTGCCATCCTTCCGCAGGCAGGCAAAGATCCTTCTCTTCAAGCAAGGCTTCCCTCAGTAACCAGGTACCTATGTGTGATTTTTAGACAGACTGCTATACATTACTGCTTTGATTTGATTTTTAGTACTATGTGTGTTTCCATTTTTGTTTTCCATTTCTCAGAGTGGCATTAAAATGTATACTTATTGAATTTTGCCTTAATATTGTCTGTTAATGATATAAGATGCCTCTTTATTCATTGTTCATAGTTTTAAATATCATCTTTTAATGATGTTAACCACAGTTGTATATTGATTCTTTTCAACTTTAAATATTGGCTTTCATTGTTCTAAGCCGCCTTGGATCCTTTTCAAGGAGAAAGGTGGAGCAAAAATATTTTAAATAAATAAAAAACCCTAAATTTTGGATTCCTCTTTTAAAAATATTTTTCTCCTCCACCACATCACAAGGCAAACCAGTACTAAAGCTGCTGAGACAGTTTGTACACATGTAATGGTCTGGGACTTGTTGCTCAAAGGAAAATGGGGAGAGGGACCTCATTAAACATGCCCAAACATCTGGACACACCTAAAGCAGATCCTTAGTTCTCAGTAAAAATAAATAAACTAAATCAAACTGGGATATCTTCAAACTGTTCACAAATAGAAACACACACACACACACCCCAAAAAGCCTGAACAATCATTAATAAAATACATCCAGCTGTAGTCAGTATCATTCAGGACGGCCCAAATGGTTATCAGATTATAATAGCAACTAGAATAAAAATAAACAGTGGTTGTATGTCTTTATTGTCTATTTATATTCAAGGAAGATTTAGCATGAGTGCTGAAATGCAGTGCAGCTGGTGAAGTGGGATGAAGGGCAGCAAAAGGCTGCCATCACTGAACAGATAGGCATGTGATGGGCAGACCTGGCTATTTAGCAACTGAACACCTGCATGGCATGCTTCCAGCTTTTGACTATGATCATCTAATGAGATTATTCAAGAAATGGCTTCCTCAGATACGATTCACTGCTTGATGATTTCTAAGTACATTTTAACATTTGCCAGGGTAGCATACCGACACATTACACAACCATATAAAGCTGACAAGAACAGTGAAAGCAATTCTATATAATCTTTCACGAAACAAAAGGTTAACTTATGACGAAGTATACCGAACATCGAAGTACAACTTTTGTTGTGACCTATAGGAAGTGTACACAACCCATGGACACCTAAACTCTGCTGTTCAATCCTACAATTTTTCCAGGTATTACTGCTGGAAAACAACAACAACTGAGGGGTTATTGCAGCTAGGAATGCTCCCAGGACTGGTGCTCTTCTGCTGCTGGTAGAAGGGATTAAGCATAAATTGAAATTACTGTGGGCAAGAGGAGAATAAAGTAGGGGCAAAGCACTTGTCATGTCCAAAAGCTACCATGGAGTTGTTTCCCTGTCTTCCATTTTGCAAGGACGCTTTCAACAAAGGTTAGTCCATCCATCCTAACCCAACAGCCTTGTATTTCAACACATCTGGAAGGACCAAGGCTAGAGAAGACTATCCTAAAATGATGGAGGTCTGCCCTGTGCTGGTCACGGGTTGGGAATGATTTTATGTTGAATGTTTTTTTTTTCTTTACCCCATTTCTTTGATGCCATCTGTGTATTCTAAATACATTGTTGGTATGGCATCCTTGATGATAAAAGGAAAGCTATATGTTGACTGTAGTCAGGGATTTCATCCAATGGTGATGATCCCTTTGGCAAGGTTTGTAACGTTATGGCAACTTACCTGGGGAAGCAGGCAGGATGAAAGGCTTTTGCCTGCCAGATTGATGTTCTCAAACCGTCTGGTAAATGGTAGAAAGAGCTTCATCATGGCAACAATGATTTGAGAACAGAATGAACTTATTTGGATACTAGACTTCCCTTCAAAGGCGGCTTTAAGACAGAGGTTGGACGGCTATCTAAAAGGGTTAGGGTTTTCGGCATCAGTGGAAGTTATGCTAGATGATCCTTGATATTCCCTCAAACTCTATAAAGCTACGATTCTAAGCAGTACAACACAGACCACCCCCAGATGTGACATACCTATGGTTTATACTAAGTCAGTCAAATGTGCTTTTACTGATCAATCACCTAACTGGCAGTTTAAGCACTGCAGCCCTATGTCAAAGCTGCTTCATTACCATCATTAGGCCTCTTCCTTAATCTCTCCAAATAATATAATAACTTAACTGACCTTCACATATATCAGCAGCTACTGTCAGCTATCTGTGACATACGTTACAGCACACCTGGGGTGTGCGGAGTATAGTCTCTGAAGACCAAATTACAATTTGAGTTAAACAACTCCCATCACAACCATAATGTCAGAACATAGATGCCTAAAGTTGTCAAAACCTGAATAATACTGCATCGACTGCCAAACAGGAAAAAACCTTGATCTTCAGTTTAAAGAAATTTCGTATCTCCCCCACAGACAATTTTTTTAAAAAAAATATTCAGCACATTGCTCTGAGGACATTCATTTGGTAGTTCCTTCACTGGGGAGGTGCTTCCTTACATAACAAACACAACTGCCTTCTTCTTACTTCCTAAGTTGCAAACTGAGCATCACTTTACTAGAAAAATTCTTTACAATCTTCCCAGTCTCTGCCTTTATCCGACGAATATATTGCATTTTATTTTAAAAGTGTTTCCACGCATACACTCAGTTCTTGGGTGTTTCAAAAGCTTTGTAAATGACTGAGAACAACTAATAAGCTAGCGGAACACATATGTTAATCCATTAAAATTTTTCACTGCAAAATAACACTCTGTTTGCATCTACAAGAATTCTGCTTTCATTAGCACAATTGTATACACATCTACCTAGAAGCAAGTGCTACTAACTGCAGTCAGACTTATTCCCAGGTAAGCATCCATGTGACTGAAGTCAACATCAAATGGAAAAATGAAATGAAATGGCAGAAATTTATGAAATGTGGGAATTTTAACAAACTATTTAAAGGTAAAATTTAAACATGCCACCTATTTTTGGACACTGGGTCCTATTCATAGAAAATTAAGCATGCTTATGTTCTATCAGTAGAACCATGATTGCAAGAGCTTTATCATGATAAATTACATACAAATAAACACAATAGCTAGAATGAAGACATTGGCTTTTCCCACATGGTTGCACTCCAAGAGGGGCAGTGTTGATCAGAGTGAAAGAATTTACCCCAGCCTGGCAACACTTATACAATAACCAGTGATACACAAGAGAGTGTGGCCCAGAAGAAGCTTCCACACAACCAGGTCAGTGGGCCTGAAAAGTACCTTACCTATTTTACAATCATACCTTCCAAAATGATGACACTCAGGTACACTATAACTAGAATGAAGCATATTAATGATAAAGGGATAAATCAGATGCAGAGAGATGGAAACAAATGGTTTCTCTCACCTATGAATGGAATAGATGCCAGGGAATCACCAGCTGGGCTGGAGCTAGAAGCTTTCCTTTCTTCTATCCTTTTTATATGGACCTCTCGGCGGGCATCATTGGGTAGCCAACAAGTAGTCTCTGAGGCAGGCTCCTGATCATTTACAGCTAAGATGTAGGATGGATGTCGCAAAGGCTGTGGTGTTTGATGGCCAGAAGGAGATTTGTCCCGCAATACAACTGTTTCTGCTTCATCATTTGCAACATCCATTGTCTGAATCTCAGACTGTTTTTCAAAATCTAGAACCTTCCGTCTGACAGAGACATCTAAATTAACTGAGGTAGATAAGTGCTCACTCAGCTGTGGGACAAATTTGGCAGAAGCTGTGCAGGAAGCAGGAGAAAGGGTACTGTTTCCTATGTCTACTTTGTGATCTGGTACACTTTCTCCTTGTATCCTTGGCTGCTGATTTAACAAACCACTGTGATGCACGTGATTTACTTCTCTTTGGTCTTTAGTAATAACACTATCCAGGCTCTGATTAAGGGGAAGTGATGGTTTCACTGCATAGGGTATGGAAGTCTTCAGAGAATTGCTTCTTGTGCTTCTAGATATCGAGTGAGATGATCTTTCCTGAAAAAAGCTTGTAGGCTTTGAAGTTCCACCAGCAGCTGGCAAATTTCGACCAGACTGAAGTATTTTTGCATCTGGTTGAACCTTCTGGAATTGAGAGGGAGGCCCTAAAGCCCTGCTGCTTAAGAGTCTACCATCTGCATTATAAGCACCTGGAGCCACAGAAAAATTTGAGCCTCGAAGGGACGAGTGAACCTGAAATCCATGTTGCTGGGACCTCTCATAAATCTCTCGCCAATCATCCTGTTCAGGAAATCCAGTCCGTTTGTAAGTCTTTTTCCTGTCTCTGTTTGCATCTACAAGATTGTCAGAGTGAAAATTTCCTGACAATTCACCCTGTTTGCCTAAGTAGTCCCATGACCGTGTCCTATGATTCCTGGGACTGAGAGATGGTGAGGTTAAAGTGTCTTGCGAGGCACTCCTTGGCCATTCTTTCAACAATACAGGATCCTCTAGTCTTTCTTGTGACATACTTCTTCGCCGGACTGAAACAGACTGTAGGGCTCTATCATGAGAAGTGCTTCTGCGTCGTACCGGTGGAACAGTGCGAATTGGTACCACCTGATTATAATCGGTTGTGTTCCGAGATGCCGCTCTTAAACTGTCTAACCTTTCCTGTATAGTTCTGCAACCGTACATATGCAAACGTCTATTATCAATGTATTCTTTGTATGTTTTGTAATTTTTCCAGTCTATCTGTTGGTGGGAATTCAAAGAAGTGTAGTGATTCATAGTCACAGAAGCAGAACCTGGGCTTTGAGTTGGGGATCTAGTAGTTGAGGTACCTTCTGGATGACCTCCATCGTTTCCAGATTTGCTAGCTATTCCAGTGGGATCTGCTGGCCTTGTAAGTGGTGTCTGAGGAAGTACAATGGCAGTGGGCATTGAAGACGATGGTGATGTGATCTGTGCTTTTGTTTTTAGAGTGGTCTGTTCCTTGAAACCATGTCTCACTTCCTCTGTCCAGGGTGACAGACTAGTGTGATTTGTTCTACACGATGAGAAGTCTACAGCCTTCTCAGAAGGCACAACAACAGTTCTTACAGTCTCATTGCAAACACAGACGGCTGTGTTAGATTTTGCAATATCTGGAGGCACTTGTATTTCCATTCTGTAGGCCTTTTCTGATGGTGTGGATGTCCATACAGGTCTACTAATTGGTTGTTTTCCCAGTGAAGAGTCAGGAGACACTTTGTCAATAGATTGTGCCATTACAGAAGCTGGAGATGTTAACCGAGGATAACATATTGGTGGTGGTTCAGGTATATTGAAGGCATTCCCACTGTAGGCTTCATTGCCCTTCTGGTAGGCATCTTGGGAATATGCCTGTACACAGAAAATAAAACGAAATTAATTAACTAGAGATGTGAATGGGAAACCAGCTCCATATTGCAGGGAGATAAATCTAATGGTCAATTATGTCCCTTCTTAAGAAAAGGCTTATAATGTGAAATATACCACAATCTTTGCCAAGGATTGATGCTTAATGTCAAATACCCCATATGTAGAAATATACCATGGAATGCCTCCACAGAAGGAAGAGACCTGTATATCAGGTGGCAGCAAATTCTACCCACTGTTGCAGGTGATCAGAAGACAGGTGGATCTGTTGAATGTATATCTCAAACTGAGCTTCACACAGCCTCCCTTCTTGAGCATTTTTATGGCAGAAGCTATGATTCTAAAGAAACTGACATACTGAATATGGAATTCTACTAGCAACAGAATATTAGCAGTTCTTTGCCACACAGGGGAACCAATAGCCAATGCAGAAATTACTGCATTCTGTATATATTGCATTTGCTAAAAGGCACAATTCTTATATCTAACATGAATAGACAGAGGCGATGTCTTTGTTGTCAGCCAACGCCCATCCTCCTACCAAATTGTCTTACATGTTACTTATTCCTTAAATTCCATACTACTCACAGTAGTGCTATTTTTTAACCCAAAAATACCATCAACATACATAGTTGGTCAGATATTTATAGGCACTTCCTTAAAGTGGAACATAGACTATCATAAGCCATGCATTCATGTATTTCTTGCATGCTTAAAAATGTCCACATTTTCTTGCATTTTAAGTACCTGTCTCCTAAGAAAAACATTTGCTTTAAATTCTGCATGATTCCTTTGGTATCAAGATGTTTCTGTAATCATCAGCTACTGACAGTACATTTGCAACATATACCCAGAACATTGCAAACATCATTGTTTTACAGTTTGCCATGACTTCCTCTAATTCTAATAATAAAATTTAAACAGTTGACAGTACACAGCCTCCCAATGCAGAAACCATTTTCAATCTTTTTTTCAAAACACAGTTTAGGTGTGGTATCATATTACAGCATTTCCTGCTCAAATCATAACATGCTTCATTCAGACAAATCAACATGCCCTGCCTTAACGTAAGACAGGCTGTAAAAGCCCAAATGCAGCCATGAACATTAGACTGAGTGCAAAGTGCTGAGAATAAGGAGGGCGAGGCACTGAAAATGACAAGGCTGCAATAAATATTACTGCAAGCATTAGTTAAGTGCAAACAAAATATTAAAAGCAGAACTGAAAAGGAATAAACCAAGTAACTAATAAAATCAAGGCACACATTTTAAAAGGCAACAAGATAAATTTATAACTGAAATTCAGCTACCCAGCAAATTTAGCTTGCTTTCAGCAACTTGCAGGTTTTAACAGTCCAGCGTCTTGCAGATCTACCAAGAAACACATGCCTTACAAAATCAGAGAAATGGCTACAGTACAGTACATTTCTTACCAGTGCTGTAACATCCTTTGAAAACTGCAGCTGGCAGAAAACAGGAAAACACAGTAAAAGCTGCTTATGGATGTAAAGATAGAATTATGCTGTCATATCGATGCTGGATACACAGCAAGCTAAAAATACATCTACACTGATTTCTCTGGAAGGTACCAAGAGAGGTGAAGGGCAATGGAGCATAAACAATAACTTCAGCCTCCTTATGAGCATGTCTGTCTTAGTCTTTTACCTGCTTCTTGCATTCATTCCCTAGCCTTCCAGAAAAAGAAAATACAGTTGTGCTGTGTTGCTTCAGTGCATCCTTCCTGCTGCAAACGGAGCCCTCTGGTTGTGCTACAAGGCGTCCTTTCTACTAGAGCATCATAACAGTCTTTCATCTCCCCTGAGCTGTTACCATCCCTGCTTCCAGATGACGAAACAAGGGTTTCATTATGCATTTAAAATCCGTGCACCCCTTCCCCACATGCATCGGAACAGAACCACAAGCTGTCAGCTGACTGCTGCTGCTTTCATACTCTGTGTCTGACATTAGAAGGATGATTTCAGAATAATCTTCACAGAAAAACAGTCTCCCCATGTGATCATTTTCATTTTGGGTATCTTCCCATTTTTTCATTGACAAATCAGGAACAGACTGTGTTTCAACTGCAAGGTGTATCCTATGCAGATGTCTCCTTTTTGCATGCTCTCTCATATCAGAAAATGGAGACACACTGTATCTGTGCACTTTTCAGATTAGGGGGAGGAAATGGGAAAGCAGACAAACTGAAAAAAGCATACGAAAAAAGCATGCTGTTCTGTATTCTACAGGAAACAATACATTTGCTCACTCTCTCAAATGTGCCAATACTGCCTCCTCGGTCCTATTTAGGCATACATACTGTATTTCCAAACCTGCAGGTTTCAATATTCTTTTTAAAACAACAACAAACAAACATTAGCTCTGCCTTTAAAAAAATGCTCATAGAAATCTACAGATCACTGCAGTTTTAAATTACAGGTCAAATATATGCTAACAAGAAGTATAATACTGAAGTTATATCAGAAGGTGACATAGCTGTTCTGAAGGCAGCAGAGTGCATTCAATTTTATTGTTCTTTTTTAAGAAGTGTGCGAAAGCAGCCACCACCGAAAAATGAAATACCGTATTTTTCGCACCATAAGACGCACTTCCCCCCCCCACAAAACAGGGGGGTGGTGGAAAGTCTGTGCATCTTATGGAGCGAAGAAAAGAGATTATATTTTCCTGTTTTCTTCTCCTAAAAAATTGGTGCGTTTTATGGAAAGGTGTGTCTTATGGAGCGAAAAATACGGTATATGTAGTCAAATTTAAAATCCAAATTCAAAATGGTTTTGTGACTTTTAAAAAACACACCTTTCATATAAATCGGGCTACTGTACGCTTTTGCACAATTAAAACTAGTATGCCAGATATGTCTGTTTGTCGAAAGATTGGATTTGGCCACTGTGACACATGCTCTAGTTACTTCCCAGCTGGACTGCTGTAACTTGCTCTATGTGGGGCTGCCAATGGAAAGTGTCAGGAAACTTCAGCGGGTCCAACATGCAGCAGCCAGATTGCTGACTGGGACTGGTTACAGGGATCACATAACCCTCTGTTACAGCAGCTCCCCTGGCTGCCAGTCAGTTTCCAGGCACAATTCAAAGTGCTGGTTTTAACCTGCTATTTGGGAAAGGGTCTTCCCTTTTTGCCTTAAAAAGTCTGGGTCCAAGCTATCCCAAAGGCCATGTCTTTCAGTATGAGTCAGCTCAGGTGTTAAGATAATCAGGTGAGGCCTTTCTCTCGGTCCCACCACCTTCACAGGAGTGTCTGATGGAGAAACACAACAGAACCTTCTCTGTTGTTGCTCCCAGACTTTGGAACTCCCTCCCACAGGAGGCCAGGCTGGCCCGATCTTTGCTGTCCTTCCAAAAGGAGCCAAAGACCTTTCTCTTCAGGCAAGCTTTCCCTCAGTGAGTGACTAGCCACATGGCTGGCTACATGAGTAACTTTTAGATGAATTGATATACACTGTTGCTCTGACTGGTTGGCACTATTTGTGTTTAGCATATCTCACAGTGGTATTTATTTGTTCCTTTTTAGTATTGAGTATATAAAACGTATTGCTTTAATATTGTCTTTTAATGTTGTAAGCTGCCTCTTTATACTCAATGTTCTTAACTTTAAATATTGCATTTTAATGATGTAAACCAGTGTTGTATACTCATTGTTTTCAGCTTTAAATATTGTCTTTCAAAGACCAACTTGGGTCCTTTGTAGGCAGAAAGGCAGGGTGAAATGTTAACAATAATAACAATAACAATAACAACAAGAAGAAGAAGCCTTGTCACATTATGTTTTTGCCACTGAATGAGTAGAATCCATCTAAACTGTTGCACTTAGTTCCACTGAATTAAATGGGGCAACCTAGTTGTTTCAACAGGAAATAAATGCAACTGGCTGACCAAATGCAACCTACTGAGCTCCTGAAGCAAAAGCACAAATTCTATCCTAACCATGCCCTACCATAAGTAATGCCTTGTATTCTACAGTTTCTTGAAAGCAACAGCAACATCTGCAACCTTGCAATTTTAATTATCCAGTAGTGCAGATGTATGGGGTTCATGATTTTAGATGTTTATAAACTTTTTTGTGAAGGCAAGAGGAGAAGGGGACAACAGAGGATGAGATGGTTGGACAGTGTCATCGAAGCGACCAACATGAATTTGACCCAACTCTGGGAGGCAGTGGAAGACAGGAGAGCCTGGCATGCTCTGGTCCATGGGGTCACGAAGAGTTGGACATGATTTAACGACTAAACAACAACAACAAAACTAAATTTTAATTGTAACAATGACAATTCTTTAACACCATGGCTCTTAATGAAGAGTGGGATGTAAAAATCACCACCACCACCATCATCAGTAGTAATTGCACTGGACCTTTTGTACTGCAGATACAACTTCTAAGAGAAAGTAATATGTCTACTAAATTTTTTTCACTCTACAAACATTATCTAGTATTAAATCAAATCAGATGCTTATAGGAGCAGGGAAGAAAATAGTATGATTTTATTGACTGCTATTTCAATTTTGATTTTTTTTTTGTTTTCTTTTCTTTGTAGAGCAAAAACCTTAAGATAGATGGGTATAGCTTTTTGTAGAAACTTTTTGGATCTCTCCCAGATTTACCATGCACGCATGAATTAATTTATCAAATTCCACATTTCTACTACTGTTGCTCTGATTAAACCCTTGTCTATGAGCTAGCAATTTTTTGAGATGGGAAAACTTTCAGGGCTGAATTATGGTAGACCACGGTCATTAAAGTATGATCTCCCTGATATGCCAAACAGCATATATGGACATTCTGTTTGTGTACTAATGGAGTTATGGCAACTAGCTTCAGGAAATGAAGGATACTGGACTATGTAGACAAACAGCAAGTACTATTCAGTCAAAACTTGTACTGTCCACAGAAAGCCAAAAGCCTACTCAGGAATACACATTGTTGGGTAAATAAATATCTTCGCTCTAGCTTCAGCTTATATAAATTAATACTAGAAAATCTTCTGACAGAAGCACACCAGCAGTTGGACATGATCCAAAAAGGGAAGACCTGAGAAAGTCCCTTTCCCAAATAGCAGGGCCTCAAAAGGAAGTAAAACAGCATTCTATACAAGTTCCAGACACCAGCCTCAATAATCAGGACAGTCCAGAAAATAGAGAGATGCAGGTAAAATACACCATTGGCAGACGAGGACTGAGGAGCAGATAATGAATGGATATTCCACAGCCTCAAAAGTAAAGCAAAATGTCAATAGCTTAATTGCTATATCCTTGTCAGTCCACCAAAAGCACACATAGAAAGCTTTGACAACATAAGTTTTGGAAGTTCCCAACAGAATACAAGAAGCTACATAATACACAGTCCTAGAACAAGACAAATTAAACGGAAAGTTTCTGTATACCTGGCATACATCTTATCCTGGCTAGGGTCTGCTACCTCAACTAATTGACAGCTTCATGAGTCACATTCCTGTGTTAATCAACCGTTTTCTCTGTATTTTCACTCGTCCATGACACTCACCACCATGGGGATATGTACAGAGGGTATGCATTTCCACTCCATGAATCTGAAGAAGTGGATTTCTATTTTGAATATCTCAGTGGTTTAGATCTCAGGCTGTGGAGCCAGAAGTTGGGAGTTCAATTCCCACTGTGCTTCCTTGACAGAAGCTGGACTCAACGATCCATAGGGTTCCTTCCAGCTCTACAGTTCTAAGATTATCTAAGATGCACAAAATTCACACTGAAATAAAACTGCTTCCTTTTAAAATGCTCTAATGTTTTGCCTTCTCTCTCTCTTTCCCCTTTAATTTGGCCAGTACTTATACAACTGGTTTATTTGTGGAAATTATAATGAATATTACCATTGATTCAGAAATTGAGAGGGGTTATTCCAATGCACTTTTTGAAGTGAATACAAAGTTGATGAGCCACTTATAATATTACAACAAGCAACTTCCCTTGGAACATGGTGTGTAATTCTTCAACTTGATTCCAGTCACTGGCTGAAATCCATTTGCACAACTTGCACCACATAAGGCTAGTAACGTGATCAGCTTTAGAGATTTTCCAAAATTAAAATCTCCAACCTTCCCAGGTCCTAAGGCTCCTCGTGGATCCCTTTTACTGTGGGGAAACTGTTGGGGGCCACAAGATGGAGGTGGTTAATTCAGGAAAAACATCACTGCCAGCAAAATCATTCACAATAAATTCCCCACAATGAAAAGGAGCCTCGTGGCCTTCAGAGGAAAGAAAATTAGACATTTTTAATTAAAAAACAACAACCCACCATTGCCGATAATGTTATCAGCCTGACATTACTTCTCGTAACAAAACTGCAATCACAAATATTTTTCCCCATGTATGTAAAAGGTACATTACAGAAATTTCAACCAAATCACACCAACATATACTGCAATTAGTATTAAATAAAGAGATGACATATCTGGCTTACACATCGTCCAACAAGAAAAAAAAGACACCAGACTGAAACTTTTAAAAAATGAATTTATTATGATGTTGTATTATGCTCACTGAATGTTAACTTATTCCATCCCCAGCACCAAAAAAACTTGCATAGCCAATATAGTGATCCAGAATTTTGCATTAACACAAAAATTCATTAACATAAAAAAATTTGCATTAACACAGTAACACAGGAAACAGTTCAACTCAAGGTGTTGCCAGAATAGCTGCATTGATACAAGTTTTTCATATATGTCTAGTTATAATCCCCTGCAGAATCTAGATTGCATAAACGAAAACATTAGTTGAATGACCATTTTACTCAGAAAAAGGGTTTCATTAACTTTCATCAACTCTGATTTGCTGAATTTAGGTAACAATATTCCCTACATCCTGTCAAAATCACTGTTTTGGTACAAGAGATTATGTAAAAATGCTATTTCGTGAAAAAGACAAAAGAAATCGTCCTGTCCTATATTTCAGTAGAACTTTTCTTCCCTTAGAAAGCACCACTGAGTAATGGATATATCACTTTTTCTACCATGAAGCCCGGCATTATCTGTCTATTATTTGGCTTCCTGACTTAACAAGGTAGTGAAAAAATGCATTTCCCTCTTGTTGCAGAAATTTTAAAACTCTTCATGAAAGAGAACCATACACTAAAAGGGGCAATGCAGCCATATTACTTGTTCCACCTCTGATATTCATGTGTTAAGTATGTTGCATACATAAACCTTTACACGTGGAACTCTAATCATACAAAGTTTCCCTCTGCTACAGAGGTAAATAGGTAACATCCTTGAACTCAGACACTGATATAGCTAGCATAGGGCCAAGGGAGAATGGGAGTAATGGGCAGGATGAGCAGAACCCCTTAACCCCTTCACATGAGTAACACATGAATGGGTTACATCATTTCTCCAATCCAAAATCTAGAGTAAATGAAAAGAAGCTTCAACAAACATGGGAGCCTTACATTGGCGTGGAGAAAAAGGACGACAGCAGAGATCAGAAGGAAACAGAATCTGCTTGAAAGAACATGAAAATTCTCTAGGAACCAAATCCCTATTTTTAGCATTATGTTTAATGGGAAAATATAGTCTGGCTTACAATGGTTTGTTTTATACTCATCACTGATGAATCAGTATGCTGCCAGTGCAGGAATCTGCTGTATTGCTGAAGGTGAGAAAAGATTATCATAGGTGCCTGGGAACATGAGATATGTGATGGGAGGATCTCACAGAACAAGAATTCCTATCACTACCATAAAGGCTTCTGTTGAATGGATGCCAAACAGATGCTAGTTGGTTTGAATAACCCTGTTCCTCATTAAGACTATCATTTGGCCCCCACTTATATAGAGGTTCCAGAAAAAGCAGCTGAACCAATCTCCAGCTTCTCAGTGTGTGTAAGGGATGATCCAGTTATTGAGTACATGGCAGATTTTTTTTTCATGGTAAAAAGACACCTAAAAAGATTCCCTCGTTGGATTTTTTAAAAATTAGAGTTAATTATCACTTAAAAACTAGCTTGTGCATCTATTTCTACTGACAATTTTTATCACAGACATTTTAACTTTCTTCCAGGAATGTGTACCCTGTTCATTTTAATCCAGAGTCTGGTTTAGATTCTATTCTGTTACAACCTACTGCTCTCTCATGGCTGCTGTTAAGCTTCTTGAGTATATAAAGAGTAGGAAGGCTCATCTTGTTTCTCTTTTTCATTTCACAGTTCCATGTTTTACACTCCATTATCACACACATAAAAAAACAACAAGATAAAAGAAGACAACAAACTAAAAAGAGGAGCATGGACATTGCAACTATAGTAAAAGCAGTATTTGAAGATTCGGTCTGCTAAGAACATAGACTAAGCAGCTGTATGTTTGTCTGTCTGTTTTTCGTTTGTTTGAGCATCTTACTTTAGTAACCGCTTCAGAAGCAAAACTTACCAGCTGAAGGATGTCTTCATCTTTTGGCATAACACTAAGTTCCAAACTGCTGCCACTGTGGGAAAGGTAGAAACATGCTTCTGTATTAACAAGACATATTACTACACTAACCAATCCAAAAATTAACTCACTCTTTTTAAGCTTCTCTTTTAATGCATTTTTAAAAAATACTGTATATTGATTATCTTTTTCAATACTCACTGCTAAATATAAATATTTATTTTCTTATGCATCTGTTGGATGTAATTGGATTATCATTATTATTCTTTTTGGCACACTGTCAAAAATCAGCCTGAATAGTTTTTTAATGGGGGCAATGTGTGGCTTCACTTGTGATGCAAGGCAGAAGGATTTTTGCCCTTGTAAGCACAGAGACCAGTCCAATGGCTTGTACAAAGCTTGTTCTTTGTACAGGAGTCTCGTGGTGCAGTGGTTATACTGCTGTACTGCAGCCAAAACTGTGCTCACGACCCAGGGTCCAATCCCAGGTAGCCAGCTTAGGACTGACTCAGCCTTCTATCCTTCCGAGGTTGGTAAAATGAGTACCCAGCTCGCTGGGGGGGGGGCAATGTGTAGCCTGCATAATTAACTTGTAAACCACCCAGAGAGTGCTTGAAGCACTAAGGGGTCGGTACATAAGCAACATGATTTACTTTTGCTTTGCTTTTGTTCTACCTATTTACTCAGAGCAGTGGACACTTGTGCATGAAGATTCTGTGTGACCTAATTATAGACATACAGTAGTCTGGGAGGCTAAAAAAATTATATATTTAAAACATGTTCATAACACACTGGATCCACAAAAATAAACTAAAAACATTCAATATATATATTCTGCATATATGGCATTAGAATCAAGCAGTGCCACAGTCACATATTTTCTTATCCTCTAAATGAAAGTAATCATAATTGTCAGCAGTATGTAATGTTCAACACAGGATAATAGGTCAATTTGTATATCTTATGCATTGTTTCAGCATAAAAGAGATAGCAGAATTCTTCATACAGGCTTCACAGTGTTTCAGGTTACGCAATCCCCAGCAGCACTGGCCATCAGGCAGAGTGAGGCAGTAGCCATGGGTTCTGGTTACTGGCGGGCAAGCTAGTATCCTTAAAAGACACCTAAGCTATCCTGCTTCCTTATGGTGCTCTGAACAATGCTATGTGGTTCAAACTGTTGTTTTGTGTTTCAACTGTCCATCTGCTTTGAAGCTATAGGTCAAGTGGGGAAATATGTTATCTTCCTTCTCACGTGGCAAAATGTCTTAGGACAGGCTTGGCTCCCAACTCAAATCACAAAGTGTATAGTATGTGTCCGTACAGTACATGTCAACAACTTTCTCAAAATCAAATTCAATCTAAGATCCAACTTTCCTGTATCAACAAAAAGGCAGCTTTCAAAACAAGTTTTCCTAAATAGTTATTTTCAATATTTACAAAAAAGCAGAACTTAATTTATGCAAATGAATTTCATACCACTAGCATTTCAGGGCTATCCATTTCAACATTTCACAAAATAATACCAACAGATGCCAAACCGGTACGGAAATTTTATAAACTATTTTCTTAACGCTAATAAAAATGCAATCATTCTCATTATATAACATTCTCATATTAAATGTCACCCATAGAATGGAAGTGACAGCTTGAGCATAATATGAGGTAGAGTCCATGAATTCTTAGAATTTGCTATGTAGAGCACCAAACACATAACCTAATTTTAATTTCACATCTGCTGCTCAGTCAAAGTTGGCTCAGAGTCAAAAGAGATTGAAGGAAGAAAACTCATCAGGATACTATTTATAAGAGAGCAGAAGACATATTTTCATAAGTAGAGCAATTTTGAAGGATGTGAGAAAGAGGATCAATTTTTTCGGTTCCCAAGAAAAATCCAGTTTTTTCAATGGATTTTCCAACTGTTTGAGTGATAGGTACTCAATATTTAGCATACTCTGTATTGTACACTAGTATAAAGCCTAAGTTACTTTGCCATGTTACATTTAAAAGATACAAAGAGAACACCTAAGAAAGTTAAAGATGATAAACAAAAAATGTTTCAGAATAAAACCAAGTACTACTTCTTGGTTACTGTTCAGGTCTTGATCTATCCTTCCATATGGAAATGATAGTTGCCAATTTGTGACAACAGAACATGTGGCTGTAAACTGGTCTCTGGGTTCTCCAACTTCAAAATGTGGTTGGAGGCTTATGATTGAATAGATCTTTGATACAGACAAATTTCCAACTACAGCCTGAAATGGTACACCATGACCACAGGTTTACTGTATCACCTGCTGCTCATGAACACCAGGACTTAGACCAGACTCTCTCTATCTCTCCCCACCTTCTCACAATCTCAGAAAAATCTCATACCCTACTGCAGGGTACAGCCAAGGGCCCATCTGCTGATGTTAATGGACTACAATCCCCATTATCTCTGATCAACAACCAAAGCAGGTAGGTTGAAGGGAGTTAGAGCCTTACAAACCTCTGCAGAGCCAGAGGTTCTGAAACTGGATTTTAGAGGGACGGATTATTGGAAAACCTGTGGCCCTCCAGATCAACAGTCTAATAGATTTGCTAGAAGAAACAGATGATAAACTTTAATCTACATTGCACAGGTTTAGTGCCCTTTTCAATATAATTAAGTGCTACCAACAAAGGAAGAGGCCAGTTTGGAGTACTCTCATCTGATGGCTGGTGGTTAGATGGGTGACAGCTCTTGACTTGGGACAGGGTTGAAAGGGACTTTTAAATCATTCAACTATGATTCATCACATCCCAGTTATCACAGTGCAAAATGTAATTCAGAACCAGCTACTTCTCTTAAGAGGCAGTTTAGTGGAATTCAAAACTATACAATGAGTAAGTATCTTACCTGTTCTGAATTAAAGCAATTACTTGAGAATATGTCTTCCCTAGAACACTTTCCCCATTCACTTTTATAATTCTGTCACCTGTAACAAGGCAAGAAGAAAAAGCCTATTTAGGTCCTCAAGTGCAGGCAGGAGTGATTTACAGTTCTCAGATGTCAGTGCAGGTACAAACAATTAGTCTGTATTGTAAGAGGAGTGAAAACATATGAAGCTCTTCTCAAATCTTCCTATAAATGCGTACACTGGCTATGAGCTTCAAATTTCTAAAAATTATATAAAGCAGTAGAACAAATTCAAGTAACTCAAATTTTTGCAATAGGATTAACTGAAGAGTTGGATGGGTTCCAACAAACAACATCTCCTTAATTAATAGAAACAAACATTTTGTCATCTTTGTTCCATGAGCAGTTAGGAACTCATTGACAAGAACTCAGCAAATAAAAATTTTCCCAACCACATATAAAGAAAAAAGCACCTGTGCATAATCCAGCTTCAAAAGCAGGCCCTCCTTCCTTAACCTGTTTAACAAATATGGTATCCATTGGCTCCAATCTGTTTCGTCGCTTCCCTGAATAAAAAAATGAGAAGTTATTACTAATTAGAAACTTCTGAACAATTGTAAGACATTTACCTTTGTATTAATTATAAGGAAGCAAACTGACTTTAAATCATATTAAATCAGTGTTAATATCTGCTGCATTTAAAGCAAACAAATGTGAAATATTTTATGAATACTTAGGAAGTCTTTGAATTGCCTCTTTAAACATTGAAACTATTACAGATCAAGAAAGGTGTCCTGTCTGTTCACATTTTTCAGAAGCCTTCAGTAACTACTCTACTTTTTCACATTTGCTCTATTCATCAGTACATAATGGTGGGATCTTTTTTGAAATCAACTTTAGTGAAATTACATTTTCCATTAGTGACTTAAAATACAATTTTAAAATAGTTTTTTTTAACCACACTACAAATGTTAATCAGTTCATAAATGCCTAAAATTCTGCGTTATCACCATGATAAATACATTTTGTAAACAGTAACCCAAAATATTTTGCAATTACCACTACTACTAACATAACTGTCACTAATAGTATATATTTCACCAGTTATGTTTCCAAACCAACATACGTACAAATGCCTGTAACATCTGATGAAATGGGCTGCATTGTATAAATGCTTGTACTGTAATATACAGTGGTACCTCGCAAGACGAATGTAATTCGTTCCGTGAGAATCGCTGTCTTGCGAAAGACAGCGATTCTCACGGGAACCTCTCACAGGAACCTATGGGAACCTCGCAAGATGAATGAAATTTATTCGTCTTGCGAGGCAGGGGGGGGGGATGTCTTGCGAAACATGGCCATAGAAGAAACCGTCTTGCGAGGCACCATAGCGATCGCAAAAACCAATTGTCTTGCGGGTTTTTCATCCCACGAGACATTCGTCTTGCGAGGCACCGCTGAATTTGTTGGTCTTTAAGCGGCTCTTGTTTTTAGAACGCCTTTTACCATAACTTGTGATTGTGAATTTAACAACTTCATGAATTCACATCATGTTTCAAGTACTTTCTTCTTGTGGTTTTAAATCTGCTCAGTGTTAATTAATGATCTCAAGTTCTTGTGTTATTTGTGGAAGAAAAAACCTCTTTGTATTACCTGTTTCCCTGAATAAAGTACAGTGGTGCCTCGCATAGTGAGGTTAATCCGTTCTGGATTAACCTTCGCTATAGCGAAACATCGCTAAACAGAAATAAAAAAGCCATAGAAACGTTCCTATGGCTTTAAAACTCACCGTTAAGCGATCTTCCTCCATAGCGCCGCCATTTTCGTGCTCTCGGTAAGCGAGGGCAGGGCGCGAAAATGCAGCGCGGACCTTCCAGCGGCCATTTTGGAACCGCCGATCAGCTGTTCTCCCCCGCTTCGTTATGTGATATTCGCTAAGCGAATCGCTTAGTGAATATCACAAAGCGAAAAAACGCCACAGGGGCCATCGCTCAGCAAATGCTCCAGCGATGGCCCAGAGCCCCTCGTTAAGCGATTTAATCGCTCAACGGGGCGCTCGTTAAGCGAGGCACCACTGTATAGGCTCTTTCCAAATAGCTATGTCTATCAGGGACTGAGAAGCTTATCAAAAGGACAAACAAGAACAGAATTCAAATTCTACAGTAGAATCAAACTTCATCAGGGCAATAAAAAAGCAGAACATTGATATAATGAAGGTACTGCCATAACAAAGAATTTAAATTTTGTTTTATCATTAACATGCATTCTGTGCTTTATAATCGAAACCAGAGTTTATCAGCTACTTACAGAAAGAAAAAAAATGTGATGAACATCAGTTTTTGATGTTGTATTACAGCAGGGATGGGCACTACTGGCTCTCCTGATCTGGTTCTACTACAAATCTGATTCACTCTAGCATAGCCAATGGTGAGGAAAGCAGACAGCTGCAATCCAGAAATATATGGAATATAGTTTACCCACACCATTTTACAGATTCTGCTTTTTTAAAAAAAAGGAACTAAGGAATAACAATGTAACTGGAGAAAGCAACACATTACAAGTTGAAGAAAAAATTAAAAATCCATTCCTGTTTTTTTTTCCAAAATAAAGTTATTTGGAATTTATTCGAAATTCACCCAGAAGGTATGTGGCATCTGGAATCGTGGATGCTTACCCAAGTACAACTTGGGTGGCATAAATATCAAAGGCAAATTACCATCAGCATTTGTTTCTCTTGCCATTGGCCACGTCATGCAAGTGTTATATGACTTTTTTTAAAAAAAGCATCGACTTGGGAGACAGAGACAGGGAATATATGTATGTGATTCTTCCTGTGTCAAGAGTATTTCTTCCAAGAATGCAGAACACATCCATCCTAACCAGATGATAAGTGATGAGGGCCTAAAGAAAACTTTAAACACACACAAAGGCACACACATATTGGGACCAAAGGACTGGCAGATTTTGCTCCAAAGTCCAAGGTTCCAACCCCTGAGTTGTATAAACCTTACTGCATTGGATTAATCTGGATTAATCCTAGCTTGGGAAGAATAAAATAAATCCCTTACATACAATACTGCATATAAACAGGTATGTGAACGCCCCAATGTTTCTCAATTACAGAAAAATTTATAATTAGACACTTATTGTAATGATTTCACTTTCAGGGTAGTGGAACAGCCAGAATACATTCTGTAAAGAAGAACAAATTGACTATAGCACTGGCAAAGATGAGGCTTAACAGCTCACATGGCATGAGAATTGTTCACCAACAGAGGGGAAAAGAGGAAATTGAAATGATGGTGGTTGCTATGGATACGGCTACACAAAAATCAGAAGACAAATGGGAAGGAACATGAGTATCAGAATACTGAGCAGTAAGTGCCAAAAATATCTTGCTGGGATTAGGTTCTGTACTATAGCTAACATGCCACTGAGGTAAAAGGAAACTCTTTTTCCATTTAAATGAACAACTATATATTTCTTATTAAAATGGCAAGGTCAATTAAGCAGCAGCAGCTAAACAAGGAGTGCCTAAACAAATTATCTTGAAGGAAAGACAGCTTAGCCTCTCAACTAAATGGAATTTACAGAGTTTATTCACCATATCCCCACTGATCCAATGGACCTACTCTAGTTGCAATTTAGTGTTGGATTTCAGGCATTACAACACTATTCACATGCTGAGATGTCTATAAAATATTAATTTGAAAAATAAATAGTGTAGGTAAGTTAATGCATCTTTCTTCTAAAAATTGAAGCTTTAAAAAAACAAAAATGTAAAAAAATAAAATGAATGATTCTCTTATAATGTCATAAAAAGGTCTTTACCTATTGTATGCAGTTGGCTGAACATTAGAAGTAACAACATTTCAAAAAAACCCTTCTTAAAATAATGTACAAATTAAAACAAGTTTGGATAACACGTTGAAACAAAATCTAACCATGCTCATATACCCTGTATAAGTTTATAAAACACAGTATGTTAAATCTGGAAAAAAATGTTTTGATCCCACAGATTGGGAAATAAAGGACCATGTGAATATTTGTTTCCTTGTGGACTTGTGTCACTCAAGGAAAGCTGAACCTTTGTTATTCCAATCACAGCTTGAATTTTTTGTACATCATTGCAAAAACTAAAATACAGAATAGATCATAGAGCCTCAACTGTGCTTCCTTCCCAGACATGTCTTTTCCATCAGTCACAATTGTAATTAGGGCTGTTCTGTCAGACATACATTCATTTAAAACAAACAACCAAAAACCTATGCACCTCTAGCAGTGACAGTTTCTTCACAGACAAGCAGGAAATTATACAGTATATCAGAGCCAGAGCTTCCAAAACACCCCTTCCATGATATTAAATTTCTCTTTAAAAAACAGCAACAGCTAAGACAGCGACATCAGGACCATCAGATAAATCCTTTTTAACTGATATTAACTTAAAGAGCTTTCAGAACAACACAGCAGTGAAATTATTAAAACAGCATAATGCCAAATAGGCAAAGCTAGCTTGTAGACTGGTGTGAAATGCTCTAAAGCTGGGGATTTCTTTATTTTTCAGTGTACCCTTTAATCACTAGACCAACATATGTTTGCTTATCTATCTACCTATCTTAACCCATGGTAGCTGGTGGAATTGTTGAACTGATGTCTAGTCATAATAGACTGGATAAGGTCCAATGCACTGAAATTCAAACATACATGTCAGAATTCAATGGCGTGCTTCCACTTGATCCCTCAGCTTTCACCAGATCACAGAAGCCCTCCCTCCTGCAGCTCCCATGCACTCTAGAAATGTTTTCTGATAGTCTGGGAATCCCTCCCCACAAGATGTTTCGGGTGTATGGGGGCCTACAGTAGGAGCAGAAGGGGAATAAACTTGTAATTCCATTGCTGTTGGATACTGAATTACAACCACTCAGTATTGGCCACCGAAAGGATGATGTGTACCAGAACTAGTTCTCTCCTAAATCTGGAGTTAGCAAGATATTTTTCTTTTATGATAAGGACAATGCATTTAGGATGACTTTAAAAAGAGATTTTGAAGTGCTCTACAAGGACAACTGCTGCAAATTGCACAGAATAAATGGCAGATGCAGCAAAAGGGCAGGTAGCTTCCTGGAGTGCACATGCAAAGTAGTCTGTAGTGGGCTAAAAACTCCTAGTATCAGATAAATGCTGGTAGTGTCTGACCCACTTAGCTGGGAACAGAATTTACTGCAGAGACTAACAAACTGCAGCCTGGGGGCCAAATGTAGCGCTACCAAATAATATTTTTGTGACCCTAGCCCTCTGCAGAACCATCTTTACCAGGAAAAAAAAGGGAATTGCAATTCATAGAAGTCGTAATTTACTTTTTTAAAGCAGATCATGCCCCATCCCATTTAACATTCTAAATCATCATTTTTTCCCAACAAGAAGTGGTTTTTTAGCCACTACAAGTATTTGAAGTCTGTGCAGCCTCCAGAATTGTCTACCTCTACTTGAGGCGCATGCTAGGAAACTCCATGAATATACTGAGCTAGTGTACTAGGTGTACTGTTAAAAAGAATAATCATGAAAGGGACCAAAGGCACAACTTCATGAGTGTGATACTTGGAAAATTATGTATGGTTCTGGCTCTTACATCTCAAAAAAGATGCTAAAGACATGAGAATATAGAGCCTTTTAGCACAGAGAAAAAGCAAGTAGGAGGCAGCAAAATATGGATGTATAAACTTAGGCCTAGTGTGAAGAGCGTGGTTAGAGAGCAGTACATTTCTCTCTTTCATAATATTAGAACCTAGGGTCTCCCAAAAGAGCTGAATAGTGGGACAATGCCAGGCACAGAATAGGAAGTTATCTTCACACAGGACATAGGTCAGCTATGGAATTTGCTACTACAAGGTTGTTTATAACTTAAATGGCTTTAAAATGGGATTAGACATATTCATGCAAGATAAAGTATCAGTCATGATAGCCATGTACTACCTACAGGATCAAAAGAAACTATCCATGTGAAATACAACAGAGGACAAGGGATATTGCCCTCACACGCTCCTTGTGATCTTTCTATAGGCATCTGGTTGGTCACTGGAAAAAAACAGATACCCAGTCTTTTATTAGATCTACTTTGGGTCTCTTTACATTAAGCCTGATCCCAGGTGTAAGAGCAAATTGCTACCACTCCAGCAAAATCAAATGTTTATGTACCAACAGCTTTACAGCCTCAAAAATTAACATAAAGTGTAGGAGGAATATGGAGGATGTTCCATGTCTAAATTATCTACATTTCAAGTGTGTTATGTAACTGCATGACAAAGTTAGCAAGATGCAACTACTTTATGTCTAGCTGACCCTATACAGAGCCTACACTCATCAAATAGCATGGATACTGGAAAGTTTCCCATGGGTCAAACTATAGCATCGTAAACATTCACTTCAACATGAATGTTTACAATTATAAATTCCCTTTCTTCCAAAAGAAGTGGCTACAGGGGCTCCTGACCTGAATTAGAAACCTGGAGGGTGGGTCCTTTAACCCTTTCCACCTACTCTATTTTCTCAATGAAAATTAACCCTCAACACTACAGGATCTTAAAGGAGTTGTTTGCAATAAACAGCACCACTGGGACACACAAGTGTGTTGGAGGCAAAAAAAAAGGTGAAGTAGCCCTCTCACTATTTCAAGGTTACAGTTGTAAGTAGATGTTAAATCACACACTTCAAAGTGTGTGCTTACCATATAGTTTGTCCATTAGACTTAAGAATGGCGTGGCAAAAATGGAAATAAGCAAGAATTTATTCAATAACTTGGCAGCTCAGTGGTTTAGGTAACTGGCTGTTGAGCTAAAGAGTGGGAGTTCAATTCCCCACTAAGCCTCTTTGACAAGGCCTGAACTTGGTGATCCACAGAGTCCCTTTCAGCTCTGCAGTTCTAATATTATAAGATGCTAACAGCTAGGTTGTAGCATATGACAGCTCTCATAAAAACAATGTAAAGCTCATTTAGTCTTTAAAAAATTCTTTAGAAATAAAACTCATATATATCTCTTAGGTGGGATATACAGTAATACGGGCTAGTTGGGCTTAGTTTCCATTTAATTTAGTATGACTAACTAGTTATGACTAAGTTGAATTCCATTTATTTTAATGGGAATTAAGCATGGCTTCCTCTGGATTCAAACTTGAAAGCACATGGCTTGCGCTTTCCAAAGTACTGTACTACATTTTCTTTATGTTTATTAAACAATCACACATTTCAGCCTAATGTTGTACTAAAGAGACTACCACTAGATGGCTCCTTTGCATATAGTTTGTGTGATAACACAATAACAATTTTACATATAGGAATATGCTGTGATCCTATACACTACATCTTATATTTGTTTGTGTGATAATTTATATTTTTTTATGTCGTGCAACTACAGTAGTAGCTAAGCAACTACTCTGGGTGGCAGACACAAGAAAACAAAAATAGAAAAACAATAAAAAACATCAAAAGGAAAAGATTCCAAATTCTGGCACCATGATAAGCATGGGTGCAATAAACAAGACAGACACATAGGCTACAAAAAACACATTTGTGGCCAGCGGGTCAAGAGGGATACATTATGTTGCTTTGGGGCAAGCTACAGAGATGCTTGGGAGAACAAACAGGTCTTACGTTGTCTTCCAAAACCCATGAGGGATGGGGCTAGCCAGGCCTCCTAGAGGAAGGGAATTCCAGAGTGAAGCGGTCATCACAGAGAAGGCCCAGCTGTGGGTGGCAGACTTCCCAGGCTCCCCCAGGGTAGCCACTCAGAACATCCCCATATAAGTGGTATGGGTGGGACAGGCAGATGTTTTGAGGGAGAGGCATGCAGACAGGTAACAAGGTTCTAAACCATGAAGGACTTTAAATATCAACATAAGCACCTTGAATTTGGCCTGGAAGCATACAGGCAAACAGTGCAGACAGTCCAGGATAGGTGTTATATGATTGTATTGAGATGTTCCGGAGACCACTTTGGCACCAGCGTTCTGCACCAGCTGCAGCTTCCAAACCACCTTCAAAGGCAGTCCCATGCAGAGAGCATTGCAACAGTCTAATTTCGAGATTACAAGACCATGGACCAACATTGTGAGGGAGTTCCTGTCGAGATGGGGTGAAAGTATGCAATCTGGCTCAGCTGGTAAAAGGCAGACCTGCCACGGTCAAGGTCATTCTCCATTGTGGGGACCAAGCCCAACAGGCACACCAAGATTTCGCACCTGATCCTTCAGAGGGATTGTGACCCTATCAAGACCAGGTAGGCAGCCACCAAGTAGATCAAGGGTCCCTCCCAACAACAGGACCTCCATCTTGTCAGGATTCAATTTTAATCTGGTAGCCCTTGTCCAGTCCATAACTGTGTCCAGGTAGTGCTCCAAGGTCTTCACAGCTTCCGCTGCTGAGGAGGAAGAGGAGAGAGTGAGTTGCATGTCATCAGCGCACAGATGACAGCAAACTCCAAAACTCCAGATGATCTCACTCAGTGGACTCATATAGAAGTTAAACAGCATGAGGGAGATGATTGACTCCTGTGGGACATCGCATTGCAGTACCCAAGGGGATGACACAGCCATACACACCCCAGCTGAACCCTCTGGTACCAGTCCTCAAGGAAGGAACAGAGCCAGCTCAATGCTGAACCTCAAATCCCTAACCCCAAGAGCCAGTCCAGTAGAATACCATGGTCAATGGTATCAAAGGCAGCTGAGGGATCCAGGAAGACCAACAGGGTTACACGTCCCCCATCAGCCATCTGAAGACCATTGAGTAGCACAACCAAAGGTGTTTCAATTTGTGTAGCGTGGCCTGAAGCCTGACTGAAATAGGTCAAGAATATCGGTGTCACCGAAGAACATCTACAACTGTCCAGCCACCATCCTCTCAACTATTCTACCCATGAAGAGATGGGATGATAGTTGTTAGGACTGTCTGATGAAAGAGTTGACATTTTCAGAATGGGCCTGACCACCATCTCCTTTAGACAGAGGAGAAGGTACACCTCCCATAAAGAGGAATTGATGCTCTGACAGGCTTAGTCAACAACTCCCCCTGGCAGCCTTTAAGAGCCAAGAAGGACATGGGTCTGATTGAGAGAAAGTAGGCTTAAAACACGCAAGCGCCTTGTCAACATTATCAGATTTTTACAGTAAAATTGATCCAATAAAACTGGACACAACTGTGTATACAAACACTGTGATGCAAACTTTATGCCACACCTACAGCATAAGAAACCCACTGCAGGAATAAAAGCAAATTCTTTTAACTTGGTGTGCGAATTAGCTTCTTTTTTAGGCCATTAAAGAACAAGATATTTTCATGAATTTTCAGCAAGCTACTTCCATACGACAATGTAACACTTCACGGTGTGAGAAAAGAAAAGCTATTCAGAACTGTATCAAGCTCTAGAGTCTTACCAAGAGTGTTCTGCACAGGTGCAGAAGTACTCATGTATGTGATTCACAGAGACCACAAAGAAGAACCGGTGAAATATAGTTAGTTAGGGTAGGGTTTTTTTCATTTGGGAACCCCTTATAATCTGAAGCCTAAACTGTAACTTTTTTCACTTGTATGTACATATACATATATATTATTTATACTTATACTGGTGACTAACAAATACAAGTCTTCAAGCAAAATATTTAGGCTTCTGTCTTCTTCAGCTGCTGTAGTAAAATAAGTAAGTGTACTGTATAAATATATACATTAAGTACATAAATACACATACAGAAATATATATATAGTCTGGATACAGTGATGAGTTGTTGTGCAAGTCAGTCACTTGGATTCCAGAAAGTTGCTTGACTCTTATGAACAGCTATGAGGTACAGGAGCAAAGGGTGGAAGGAGCAAGGAGAGTCTTTATTATGCAAGCAGCATTCTACCTACCTAACCCTGGATACAATACAGTATATCATAAATTCATATTGTGCCTTTCCACACAGTTGGATCTATAAAAAATTGTATACACTTATTATAAAGTACATTACTAAAATAATAAACTGTCAATATTTAAGCTGCATTTCCTAAAGCTCCCATAAGGCCACAGATTTATTTAATTGGTTAGATTTATGGGTTAAAAACAGCATATTGGTGTATTCAATGTACATAAGGATCAAGGAGAAAACATACCACTTTTATTTCCTTTCTCTTCATCCTGCAAAGAAAAATCATAAAAATCATAAAAATCCAAAGTCATTGTATAACAAAGGATATCTTCAAAGCATCCATGGGTAAGCTATTCAAAACTATTTGCTTCAAACTATTGTCTAAATGCTTAGACCGTAATGAAATGATTATATTAATAGAGTCTGTTAGCACGTTTGGCTTTTAAAGAATTAAGTAAACTTTCCTAATGAGTTTAAACAAATTTCTGAGTCAACTGTCAGACTAAAGAGTCAACAAAGAAAGGAGATCATTCTGTTACCACAGGCATTCATGCTGAATCTCACAACTCACAGGTATACAGGAGGTAACACAGGATATTAGAAATCTGATTTGTTTCAACTCTATTTAGCTCAGTACTATCTTCAATGATGGCATCTCTGTGGCTTTCAGACAGCCATGTTTCCCAGCCCGATGTGGAGATGTCAGGGGCTGAATGTGGAGATTCTGGCAGTTTATTATTTAAGTGTGAATCCATTTCTAAAATGGATTTACTGAACAAAAAAAGTTATTGCTAGAGGGCAAGAAAAATATTCTTTGTTACAACTCACATGTATCTTTATATCCAAGACATTACTTTCTAAAGTTTGCTTTATATTTACTTCACTTACCTTGAAAGAAACCTGAATAGCAGACTCCGGGGGATAAACAATGAAATGCCGCAAGGTAAAGCCAAAGCCCTCTGATGTTCTTCGTAAAACTACTGTTTTGGCACTGGGCCATGCAAAAGGTTCTTCATCCTCTGCTTCACTTTGTACTTTTCCATCATTTTGTTTGGATGGCTAATAATAAAAGGAAAACGCCAGTTCAATCTCTGCATTTAATTTCATGCTTTTGACAATACTCTTAAAAACAATTCTATATGACATGGGCTGAAAATTATTGTGATCTCCATCTCTCTACTTCTATCAACTAACAACCAGTAAGCTACTTTATGGACTACAGTTAACTGTTGCTGGGTATGTGAGAATCTCCCTTACACCAATCAGACTCATTTGTCCATTTACTCCCATACTGTTTAGAGCAGTGATTTTCAGTTGTGGGGGAGAGAGTGAATCCTTGTAATACATAATGTATAGAGATAATCTATAGAACCCCAACCCCTTCTCTTTATCACCCAAACAGGAGCACCCTCAGCTACTGCAACATTCTTTTTCCAAATTTAGTACTGAATGTTTGACTTAAGATGTGCCATGAAAGACCAGCCCAATGATCTGTTGTTCATATTTAGAAGTGGCATGCATTTCATCAGATGTTACTCCATTCTAGAATCTGATGTGTGGGTGGAATGTATAAGCAGTAGAGATGGGCAAGAACCTCGGTTCAGAGGTTTGTGTCGCATATCCCCTTCCCTTGCCTCCCTGGCCAATGCCCCACTCACTAGCTGGAGTGTGCTCCTCTCCTCCCCCACTTTGGATGTTCAAGCAATCCGCAGGAGCATGGGTTTGTCTGTCCTGCCTCCCCATCTGAGTGGGTCCCCACTTTGGATGTTCAAGCAATCCGCAGAAGCATGGGTTAGTCTGTCCTGCCTCCCCATCTGAGTGGGCGATCAGACAAGGAGACGGGGCAGGGAAGCCTATGCTCCTACCTCTGGTCTAACAACCAAAAAGGAGCAGGAAAGGAGCGCATGCCAGCTGGCGAGTGGGAAATCCAGCCAGGGAGGCAGGGGAAGGGAATGTACAAGCGGGGAATCCAGCCAGGGAGGCAGGGGAAGGTTATGTACAAGCTGGCACAAACCTCTAAACTGAGGTTCATGCTCGTCACTAAGCAGGTGGGGGCAAACCTCCAAACTGAGGTTCATGCTCATCACTAAGCAGGTGGGGAGCAGCAAATGCTTTGTTCAAAGGCACTCCATGCCCTTTGAAAAAAATGATATGTAATATCATATCAGCAAGTATGTGTGCTTGCTATAGAGTGCTGTTGCCCAATAATAGAGGACCTTCAGATACTCCCATTTAACACTTCTCTCCACCACCGTCCCCACTGGAAACATCTACTGGGAAGGGAGGGGTTGCTGGTTTGATTTAGCAAGGCTAAAGCAATTTGAGAGGCTTGATCATACAACTGTAGAAGAGTCCTTGCTTTTTAAAGCAGGAGGGGTGGCAGAGAGTACCAAACAGCTGCTCAGACAGTCCCATCCACCTCTGCACAATGGAGGGAGACTGGTTACTCATCTAGCATACACACTGCCAGTAAAGCAGTGTGTTCATTCTACTGTAACTAGTGCTATATCTTCCACTACTACTTTGTTTACACTACGTGGTGGACAGTAACCAATACTAACCTTCAAATCTTGTTTCAGTGCAAACAACATAACTCATTTTGGATTTTTTTTTCATTAAGCATTCATACCACAAAAAGTCTATCTACTACACATAAGACTACTATCTGAGCATTTTGCTCCCCTGTGTTTAACAAGCAACTGATATTTGAAGGGAAGGTACTCTACCAAACTTATTTTTATTTTTTTTACACCTCACTCTCTCTTTACTTGGCAACTCCCACTCCTTGAGGAATCTGGCAAATACACATTGAAAGGCCAGTTCACTAAGTACTGTAGTTCCAAAAACACTGAACAGATCCAAAATTTAAACAGAAAGCAAACCTCTGAATAAGAATGCTGCTTTACAGGTTCCTTAAAGCAATTAAGTAGAATTAAGATGGAAAGGAAGCCATTTAGTCAGCCCAGCTACTGGATTTGTGGGATTAATCCTCTGATGTTGAACTAACTTCAAATAACCTTTTTGGTCGTGAGTTCATTCCTAAAGCAAGTCCTTCCCTGTTCACTGCAATTTCCACACCAATTCAGCTCCGTCTAACAATGATGATACATTGGTGGTCAATAACCACTGTCCTTCACAAATTCAACTAACCCTTTTTACAACTGTCTTGGTGAACTATTACCACATCTATGTTACAGCTAGCAACCTGGTACACTCCAAATATTTGGACTACAGTTCCCATCAGCTACAACCAGCAAGATCATTAGTCAAGGATGGGTGGGTATAGTACAAAATAGCTTCAGGACATCATGTTGCCTATGATGCTTCTGGCCCTGAACTCCATAACAATTACATGGCACATGAAGAACAATGGACTGAACAGATAAAACTGATCAGTTTATTTCTGGACTCTGTCAGTTTCACATGTGTTCCATCATAGCTGTATTCTCTCCAGTTTTCTGCAAATTTTGTTCTTTTAGTGTACAAAAAAGTTTAAATTAAATCTTTGGGTATTTTGTTTTATAAAATATGCTTTTTATACTCATTTGACATAAAATACATTTGTGCGGAGATTTTTCTTCAGCTGAGGACTGCACTGTAAAATGTGACATACACAATCCAAAGGAAATCATCATTCCTACCACTGTTAGTCATGAAAATAAGGAACGAGTTAGTTTGGGGGGAAAAAGTGCAGACATTTTCCATCATCCTTAGTGAATAATTACTTTCCTTCATAATGGATGCCTACACACCTCTACAGGTAGGAATTTGGATTATCTAGACTGTTATAGCTTTTGGAATTTCATTTTACAATTTCTTATCATTGTCTACCTTATGTGGAAACTGCAATCTGTATTGTTTTATAGAGCATTTTCATAGTTAATATCCCTTGCTACAGCCCCTCTCTGGTTTTGCCATTTTTTGGTCTGAACATGTTTATACGCTTTTGTCATTGTTTAATCTGAAATACCATAAGCTGTCTTGACAAGGAATAAGTCTTGGAAAGGCAGGATATAAATGTTAATATGGATACATTATAAATAAATATAATACACAACTAGAATCCTAATGTTGTTTGCATAAAGTTTCTGTAACTTGCCTTGGCTAATTATTGCTAACTGAAGAGGTGCCCGGTCACTGGCCTTATTGCACAATCAACTGTAGTTTGATTATCGCATATCAATGTAATAAATAAATAAATATAATGGCTGAAATTCTGTTTGGTGATTCCATGTGTACATCAAGAATGATATCATCATCAAGGTCTAGTTGCTTCATCAAATCAGAGGCACAGATTCAGATTTTAAAAACTACTGTAGGTGCTTCATCAAATCAGAGGCACAGGTTCAGATTTTAAAAACTACTGTATCTATAAAAGTCTTATTCAGAATCAACGCCCCCCCACAACATATTTAGTGATTGGAAATTATTCACATCAAAACAAAAAAGCAAAAATCAGTCCTTTGGAATACAGGTTCCGACATGGACTATTTTGCTCAAGAGACATAAATCACTATATTCACTTTACAATCTACCCAAGGCCAAATCGACTCAGAGGAACAGAACATAAAAATTAAAATACAATAAACCAAAATAAAATGCTACCCAGCTCCAATCCAAACAACTACGGACGTCACCTGGAATTTTACCAGGCCCAAAGGGACACTCCCTTGAAATATCAGATTAGCGTTTGAGTATACCAGGCACTTTGCAAACACAGTAAAGTTGCACCTCCCAAGTATTCATTTATCTAAATCCTCCTATGTTCAGAAAATTCTCCTCCTCTACTGGAACACAAGGAAAATCTATATCCAGAGTTCCAAGAATAGAGATGGAAAAAACAAGTCTGAGCATGCCACTGAAAAAAAGTAGTAACTGCAAATTACTCCCAATGGAGCAGGAACAGTAGTGATATCTGTAGCATCAGCATGAAGGGCCAAGAAATGCATCACTCTCCATTGCCTGTACACTGTCACTGCTAGCACATAAGCAGAGATCTGCAAGAATGGGAATAGCTCTTCAGACACCAAATCTTCAGTGGATCATTCCCAAAGGAAACTACTCCCTTGGAATTGTGATGGTGGCAAACACCATCACTTTGCTTATTTATAAACTTGCACAATACAGTGTTTTCATATCAGCTGGCTGGTTGACAAGCTTTGCTATATCAAACACCCACAGCAATGCTGGTGTGTTTCTAGAGTGTATTACATTATTTGATTATCCTCTTTTGTGGAACTATGATATGGTGGGAGTCTGAACATTCACAGGGAGTAATGATCACTGTATACTTCCAAATTGCAAACCTCCATAATAAAAGGGAGTGCAACCTTACCACAAACAGGGTATATAACTAACCCTGGATCAATTTATCCTTGAATTAACAGTATTTTTGCTAGAAACATCTAAATGATTATTTATACATCTTTACCTCTATTCAAGGAATTTACAAAATGTTAAAAACTCAGGTGTGCAAACCTGATCATGAAAAGTAAAATGGGAAGTACTCTTTGTTTTCACTGAAACCTGTGTGTGAACCAACGTCCAAGCTGATTCCACTTACAGAAACTAATATTTCACTTAGAGCTGAACAATAACTTTATTTACATATTTTCAGTTCATTAAACACTGTACTTCACATAAAAATAAAAAGGAATGTAAGTTCATTTAACTTGCAACACGTTTTATTTACAAATACACACACACAAATGAAATGCACCTCTTGAATTTTTCATGCTCTCTGACAAACACAACATATAAAAATTAAACAAATATTCCATACCAATTGGGATATATCCCACAGTGTCTCAGCTTGAACTGCCATCAGTGGTGTGGATACCAGTTCCCTCTCAAAACAAAAAGAAGCCCCAAATCTTTTGTTATCTACTACCAAATATTAACAGAAATCTTTACTCAGTTCTATGCTCAGAATAACATCTGTTTTCATTGCAGTTTATCAGTTCTATGTGGACCTTCTATAATCCCTCCAAATAGAGCCATTCGGAGAAAGTAAGGTGAAAAAGATTCCAGTTCTTACTAAATCTCTATAAAATCCAAGT